GTTGTTGTCACTCCTTCTTTGGCCGCTTGCAGCTTGCTGAGATTTCAAAAGCCGCTGCGCATTCTCCAGAGACTGTTTTGGTTCAAAAGGGCCTTGCTGCCCACCCATTTTTTGGTGGGGTTCAGGGAGCCACTCTGAGTAGCCGGAATGTTTGGGACCTCAGGATTTAAGGTGTCCAAAATGGCGCATGTAGTCTATTACTACAGACAAATTTGGTGGAAAGAAGCTGGATGCAAGCAAGAACGTCATTTGTCCAAAAATCAAGCCGCTTTTGAACTTGGGTAAAGGATGATAAAAGGAGTATTGTTTTATCAGATCGTATCATCTGGCTGCCAATGATTTCACCAGGTTCGGTGGCCTATCTCGCTGCCTCGGGCAGGGCGTGTTGGGCACTCGGTTGGTTCCCGATGCCTGGAATGTGATTTGGATAGAGAGCTTTGGATGCGGAAAGACATGGACAAATGATCCATCAACTTCCAGTTTTTTGTTACTGTTTTCAGGGTGATTGAACTTCTTGGATTTCAGCCAGTACTATTTCTTGACTCACAATGTTTTGGTCCAGGCGCCGCACTGCCGGCTCATTTGCAAGACAGGCAAAGGGGTTTTAGAAGGTTGGTTTGGGTGGGAAGTGAATCCAGTGGTGTTGAAGCTGGCCGAGTTTCCGAGAGAAAGCGGATCTCTTTTTTGGTGCATCCACCAGACAATGCCTGCAAAGGGCTACACTACATAGATGTAAGATGTAAGACATCTTGCAGCCACAGCCGAGATAATTTTTGGGTCAGCAGTGGGAGGCCGTGTCTTTGCTCAGAAACTCCCTCTGCGTTTTGCGGAGGCGCTGCGGACGCCTGTGGCTTTCGAAGCAATGCCCAAGACCTTCAATGCTCCGATGATGAGGCCGTTGGTGTCGCTCGTGCCGGGGCATTTCTGGGTCGAACCCCGGTTGTGCCCTTTTTAGATGCCATCCCCTCCATTGATTTTGTTTTTGCGTACAGAAAAAAACTTGCTGAGCTGCTGAACTCGAAAAGCTGTGATCAGGCCCTTCAGTGTGCTGGGCACCAACTACATGCGATTTATCAATCAACAGCCGGGGATGCCCGGACTCTGGATCGCCGCCCCTGAACGGCTCCAATTCCCAACGGCTGGCTTGGTGGAAACGTGGGACGTTGGATGACAAATTCTTCGTTTATTGCTGTAATTTCAAGTCAGGTTGAGTTCAAGTGCAACACTGCAACCTCACTATTTGGAAACATCATTGCATCGTTCGGAAACAACACCTAAATTGCAGCCGCATTTTTTCCCATTTGGAAAGTCACTGCATCGGCTCTGAGGACTCCCAGTGTGCCGAAGCCAGTCGTTGAACCACTCAAGGCGGCTGCCATCAATCCGGATAGGAGGGAGCCGTTTGGAGCTGGGGTTGTATTTGTCCTCTTACCATCCGTTGTCCTCAAACGTGGCTGGGAAATTCCCTAAAAATGATAAAAAATGAATATTTATAGCGGGGAAGATCATCGAAGTAAATGGGGAATTCAGCAGGATTGGTCCGAACGTCCATAATGGGGAATTCTCCAGCAAGCCATGTTTGATTACCGGAGGGTAAGAGGAGAGCTAAGGAGCTACGAAGAGTTTCGCAACCACATGATAGACATCATCTCCCAACCTGGAAAAAAGTGTTCCATCCCCATTTCAATAGCTTTTTTAGGAGTGGGAATGTGTAATGTGTCCGTAAGCTTTCCACCAGCGCCAGGCAATTCAGGAAGCCAATGTGGTAGCGAAGGATACAGGACTGTTGTGAGCACGGTGGGAGCAAGGGCATTGGCTTAAAGTGTTTCACACCCCAAGGTTGGATGGGATTTGTGGTGTGCCCTTTGATCATACGGATCTCTGAGAGGGGTTTCATCGAAAGCGACGAGGATCACATATTGCACTGCAGGAGTGGCAGGAGTGGTAGATACCTGCAAGAGGGACTCCATGGTTTTTGAGGACGGGGCTGCTGTAGAACCAACGGACAGCTGAATTTTTTTCTGTTTGGAGTAGCAAAGACCAGTAGAACTCCACAGTATAGGCATAGGCATGGGTCAAGATTCAGGACCCAGGAACCATCTTCTCGGTCTTCACACCCAGTTTTGGGAAACTTAGTTTCTGACCCCATATTTTGACACGGCAAAAAGTGGGTTTGCCCATGTTTGCATTGGGTAGACTAAGATTAGATGATCGATCATCATTTTCCCCATGCAACTGGCCATATATTGGGGTTGGATCATGTTCGATCCAGATTTTTTTTGAGAATCCTTGGAATCTTTACTGACGCTTCCGCGCAGATCGGCATCTCCTTCGTGGTTCTCCATTACCAGTCGATCTTCATCGGTGTGATGCGTTGCCTTTTCCAGGCACGCTTCCGAGCCAATCCCATGTTGGTACTGGGTTGGGTCAAGAATTCTTTGATGAAACGGATGGTTTAATGCTGATCATCAACTTGATGGGTCCATACCCCAAAAACTTGACTTGTAGAACATACTGTAAATATTGGTGTTTCCTGACCCAGTTTAAGCTTATGATTTTGGATGATGTCAAGGATCTCTGGCAAGTTAGGAGTACTTGGAGTATTCCTGGCCTGGATCATGTCGAGCTGTGAGGCTTTCCGTCCGTTGCTGATTCTCTTCATCTTTGGTCAGATTATCAAGGCCATGATGGTCACGCTGGGAATTGACCCCCAATAGCAATTGCAAAGGAACACATTGCGACACATGGGAATGAAAGAAACATAACATAGGGATACAAGCATTATTTGCGGAACCAGTTATGGGGATAGTTTTGGGGAAGATCACAATTAATGGCAATACGTTGAGGGAAGGTGATGGCGAATCATTGACTCTTGCATGCCCCGCTTGGACAACCGCGGGTCTTGCAGCACCGATCTAGCTGCTTCCTCCGTCCAGGGACCAACCATTCTTTACAAAGATCAAAGGATGGAGATTGAAGAGACAGATTTCCAATAAAAAAACACATTCTATACTGTCAACCCTGGATGAATCACCTGCCATTCACCATTGAAGTCTCAGAAATCGCTCCCAGCTCCTACCAAGTCGCATCCGAGGCGGTCTTCTTCATTGCAGGCGCTCCAATTTGGATGTCCTTCTATTCGATTTGGCTCTTTGAGGTGACCTATGGACTGGCGCAATGTGCCATCTCCTTCATCTTCATCAGCTGCTTGGCGAACAGAGGGCAACCCAACGTTGGGGATAAATCCAAGTTTGCTTTTAAGCAACACAGCCATCTGGTGCTGTAAGATAATATACTGTAATGTATATGTATATGTATATATATATATATATGAGTACTCATACATGTGTATATGTGTGTATATATATGTATATGCATGTCAAATTATGTCAATAGTATGTTTGGTTTTATCCTGATTTTGTTTGGGCGAACATTTTCAGTGGCAGGTTTCTTTTACAACAACCTCTCCTTTGCGCGCATCCGCCCGGCGTTGCGACAGATGCTGCGGCAGCAGAAGGACATCACGCGGGTCAAACAAGCGAGGTTTAGGGGACTATGGGGTTTTAGTCATTTAATATTACAGTATTGTATATTTGTATCTATTTTGTCAATTGTAGATGTTGACTTGTAGATGTTGGTATTTTCGTTCTATGGCAAGCTGTTGATCTTTGGATATTTTGGTCTCTCATGAATGGTAAACTGTGTGGTGCCCTGAAAAGGCTTGCGCTAGCCACCAGAGCCTTGCGGTTGATTTGCATGAAAGATTGCATGGCTGGTCGGTTTACTTTACTTTCTTCATATTCATATACCCAGTCAGCCACTTTGTGTGCGAATGTATGCACTCAAGTTTGATCCAACGCTATTACGGGGAGTGGCTGGAAAAGAGGTCGGTGTCTATGCTGCCGATACCCAGGATGTCCACCTTGGTCGGTAGAGGAACCATCTTACACCTGTTGGGATGAAGAGAAGTGCGTCTTCATACATGTAAAACTTGATGTATTTGCTGAACTTGCTGGTCCTCTCTGTAACCACTTTGAAGTACTCATCTACAATGATATTGGTATGATATATTTGCTGTACAAGTTGTGCTCATTTCAGCATTTGACTATGCAATTAGGCAATTTCTATGGCAACCGCCCCGAATATGGCCTGCCCGTTTCCAGGACAAGCTGGCCCAAGCAGCACGAGCTCTGCTTTAGATCAAGGCAAGGTACAGGTCAACTGGTTGGTTGACTGGCTTGGGGGTACACTTCCAGGGCTTCTCATCCGAACTTATGGGGGTAGCCATGGTTCTTTCCCAAGTAGGCTTTAGTTCTCTAATACAAACACAAACAAATGTTCAAGAACGGAGTCCTCTCGCAGTCATTGGAACCATGCCGTACATACTCCTGCTCGGCTGCTTTGTGGATTGCTGCACAGATGCAGTTGCTGCGCAGGTTATCGGCAAGAAGTTCAACGGCACTCTGAGAAGCAAGCAGTTCATAGTTGATATGGAGAAGTAGCTGCGAAGAAAAAGATCACCAGAATCACCTGTCGTGCCAGTCGTGTTTTTCTTGGCGTGGCTTGCCACACCCTCTTTGTGGATTGCTGCACCATCAGCCCTGGCTAGTTACCTGATATTCTCCAGGATGGCCAAGCTTTGAGCTCTCTGGGACAGGCCGTGGAGTCACAGTGTGTTTTTTTTTTGGGTGAAAATTCTCTTGACTATGTGGACCTGAAATGGCCTGAATCAATGGTACGAATCGTACGCCCAAAGATAGTACTAACAAGCACTGATATAGTCTGATATATATATATATTATATATTATATATATATTATATATATATTATATATACTATATATATTATATTATATATATTATATATTATGTTATAATAATATATATATGTTTGATGTCTCATGTCAGGCTTGCAATAACAGTTGAGGCTTGGTCGTACTTCTGGAGCCGCAGCTTGCGGCTGGCAGAGCTGACATGAACAAGCATGTCCGAGCAGAGCCATGTCGAGCAGATCGGAACGTGGAAAGCCACAGACCCGCAGCAAGCGGAAGAAAGCGAAACATGCCGAAGTACACCCAGACTCGAAAGCAAGCGATTCGATATTCTTTAGTCATACCTGGCTACCTACTCCGTCTTGGAATAGCTGGCGCTGCAAGGTTTTGATTGGTTTGGGCCTCACTGGAGTGAATGTGATCCTACTTTTTCACAATTTGGATGCTTTTGAATCTCGATCCGCGGTCTATCACCAAGCTCCACTGGCTCCACTGTTCAACGCCACCGCTCCAAAAAGTACCTCACAGGCGCAGCCTTCGGCGGCGCCCAAAGCTCCCAAGCTCCGCGGCAGCCGTGAGGTGCAACCAACGCCAGTGCCAAGGGCTCCAGATCTCGCTGCTGTCCCTGCGACTAAAGTGGAAGCGCCGTTAATAACGGTTGCACCGGAAGCACCGGAAGCCCTTCCAGATGTGACGGAGCTGATCACCTTTGCACTGGCACAGAACACGACACAGATGGTGAAGTTTCGGAGTCCCTCATGGTCCTTGTCCACTTTGACTTTGTCACCAGGTCAGCAACTACCATATGACGACAGGTACTCCGGGGTCAACTACACCTTTGGAGAATATTTGGGACATGACAACGTGGTCTTTGTGTCCCCTTGTGGCGCCAAAGAGCTTCACCAGATGGATTTCCCCTTTGGCGACTTCCTGAAGGAAAAGGCTGCCTTCATGCACATGCAATGCCTTGCTGCTGAGGTGGCTGAAAATATGCAGGCCAAAGACGTGGTGGCCTATGTGAATTTCCGCGAAAGTGGATATTATGGCCATGCCATTGACAACATCCTGCCTCGAATTTTTGCGGTGCTGCCAGGGGTGGTCCAAAGTGGCCACAAGATGATCCTGGTGCTGCCGCCACTGGGGAAGCGTTCCCTGAGTGAAAACACCAAGCTGCTCTGTGAGGCGCTTGGCATTGAAGTTCGGCTCCGTGTGCCCATCTATCCACATCGTACCATGGGTCTGAGTGGCGTTTCCTCTTGGAGCCGCGAAATGCGACAGACCTTCCAACGTGCTGTGTAGGCCTCTCCTTTGCTGACGGGAACTGAAATGGACCACAGGTGTGATCCCTGGACCATTCCTCTATGGAGACCTGATGCTGAAAGCAGGTTGCAAAGTGCCACATGTCCCTGTCGCTTTGAGCCTGGCATCTTCCTGGGTCGCCACGCCACGCGGAACTCCCGACCCGTGCAGGGCGCGGAGTATCTGGAGGCGGAGTTCCAAGCCCGGGGCTTTGAGGTGGTTACGGATGCGGCAACGGTGCCCTTGCAGCAACTGGCGCGAAAGATCTACAGATCCTGCAGTTTGGTGGGATTTTCCGGAACAGCCATGGTGAATCTCATTTTTTTACCACCACACGCGGCGGTGGCAGATTTGAATCCATATCTCATTTATGCCAACTCCTGGCTATGGGCCCATGCACTGAACTACTGCTTCTGTCAAGTGCAGCCCCCACGGAAACTGGACCAACATGAGGCTTCAAAGTGGGCTGCGTTGATCCTTGACAACCAATCCGCGGAAGCAAAAGATGCGATGGGGTGTTCAATAGCCATGAGCCGTCATGAGCCCTGAGATCCGTGGGTTTTTGAATTTCCATCCTTCAAAGTAGTTTGCCTTCAATCTTTTGGTGGAAAGGTTTCACGGGCTCGTAGTGTGCTCTTCGCTTCTGCCAACGGGTTTTCTGCCCAGTTCGTCTCATCCTCTCTTGTTCGCAGGTTTATCGTCCTGGTCCAGCCCTCAAAGTCCACTGAAAGCTGAAAGTCTTGTGCTGATTTTGTGTGTCTGAAAAATGGTATACCCACAAGACAGCAATTGAAGTCGTTTTAACACGTTTTAACAGAGACGGTGGTGATCAACCATCAGATTTTTGGGTACAGCAAAACTGTTAGGTAAGAACCGAATAAGAATTTTCCAGCCTACCCTGAGGTTCTTAAATCCGATCTGCGGACACATAGCAAAATTGTGAACGAGTACCATCAAGTTCTTAAGGGGTCAGTTCTTCATTTTCACTTAGAGGTGCAGTTCCATCGAAAAAATACACAATATTACACCGGGTAAAATTAACCTCACTCAAAAAAAAATGGGCAGAACAAACCATTTACCCACCATTTCTCATTTCCTCATTGTGTCTCCCCTGTTGTTTTCCCTGTGGCTTTTTCCTCCGTTGGCTCAGTGACCCCACCCTGCAATTCAAGTAGCCAGTAATTATGTGGGTGAATCCAGCAGCTGAAGTTCTTTAATGCAATGGGTTCTTTTCAACAATGGTTTCACTGTTCCCAGTTCCAGACGCACCCACGAGGTGTGGAGGAGGTGGTGCACCGGCTGCAGTTCTCGCGAAAGGAACGGGTGGTGTATCTCTTCCGATGGCTGGAGCGACTCGTCCGGAAATGGGTCAGTCATCGTTTTCCCCATTACCCTCTGATAAACCAACATAGCTGTAGAAAATCACCATTTTGTAGTGGGTAAATCAACTATAAAATCTATAAATGGCCATTTTCAATAGCTATGTTAAATTCCCAGAGGGTAACATGGCCATTTGGAGGTTCCATTTTTAGACAGACCCATATGAGTCCGTCAGAACTCCATTTGCTGCAGCTTGTCATCTCAGCAATCACCGAGGCGCCAATTGGATCCGGACCTGAAGAAACCACGACAACGAGCTCAACATGTGTGCTGCTTAGGTTCTGAGGATTCTGTATGGTTTAATGTGTTGACATTGACATTATATCCACATGATATCACCGTTATATCCCCATTATGGTTGGTTGTATATGCCCATGACTCCCCATATAAAAATGGAATGGTTGCAGTTTGTTGCCAATTGCAGATTCGCACACTTGCTCATCGGAGAAAACCGTGTTGCTTCCAAGGTCCGCTCATTGCTGCAATTGTGTTGTGAACCAACAGACGTGGAGGAACTTGCAAAGGACAGTCCCGGAGTTTCAGTGCATCACAGTGGTTTTTCAGTGAAGACTGTACAGCAGTAGCATCTTCTTCTCCTGAATTTCACTCCTGAGCCCTTCTGAACCCTTCTCCAAGACGGCTTTCCCGTTTGGCTTTCGCACTTGGTGGTCTAGGACGTTTTCTGTGGATCAGTCAATCTGCCAGGAGATGTGGGCTCAAAAGTGCTTAAAGGATGCAGATGTGACTCTGGCAGAAGAGGAATATACCGATTTTGAGCTCAGGCTGGATGGGCAGTCCTTTGAGACTTTTTTCTTGTGGCATGTTCAAACTCCTCCCCCTTTGATTCGCTACCTTGACCACAAGTTCAAAGTCTAACCGGTGGAAGCTTGCCATCTTTTGTTTGTCCCACATATTTTTGTCAAGGTGTCCATTCTTTTCCGCCAGGCTCCAAGTCTTCAAAAGCCTGGCCAGCCGCGCGCAGGGCCTACAGGGCCTGGAACGTGAAGTGTTGCTGGCCGTGGGCCACAGCAGCGCTCCGCAGCTCCAAACCTTGGCGGACGCCGGGGGCCGGACGCCGCTGGATGTGCAACTGAGGCGCTTGGCGCAGGAAGCGCTGGAGGGCCCTGGTGGCGTGGAGAGCTTGGGCAAACAACCTGGGCATTCCGTGAATTGCCAGGTGGGGGGATGAATTTTTTTGTGGATGTTTAGTTGATGTCAGGTTGGAGGTGTCCAACAAAATGGGGGTCATCCCAGTCATCATCCATTTTTCTTTAGGATTTTCCATTCTCAACCATCCAGCAAATAGGGGTAGCCTCTGGTAAACATACAAAAAACGATGGAAAGATCCACCATTTTTCATGGGAAAATCCACTATAAAATCACTATAAATGGCCATTTTCAATAGCTATTTTGACATCACCAGAGGGTGCCTCCATTTTACGAAAGGCCGCCTTACGGCTCCACCGTACGCCAGGCCTGCGATCGCCTCACCCGTCCGAGGGAGGTGGCTGCGTCCTTACGCCTGGCCGAGCAACGGGCGCAAAAGGCGCAGGAGAAGACGACGCGAAAATGGCGATTGCTGCAGGTCCTGCTCGAGGTTGGCAGAAATTTATGGCTGAGGGGGGGGAAAGGACCTAGAAATGGTTGAGTAGGAAGAATTGACCAATTCAATTTAATATAGTGGTTAAGAACAGTTACGAATGGTGAATGATGCCAGTGGAGGCAGCTTGGGGTAATATTCGAGCTGTTTATTGAAGTTTGATGATCTCTATGATGACTTTTGGCGAATGACAAAAACATGTATTGATTATTTATTGGCGGTTAGTTACTACCTGGTTTATTGATGTGTATTGGGCATCATTCTTACCATTGTGGTTGAATCATATTGAATCCCTACCAACTACCTAGTACGGTACAGGATGGGAAGGCATACAGATTTGATCACTGCTCACATCAATGGATAATTTGGGGGAATTTAGTGGACGAATTGATATTTGGAGCACCAACAATAGGGATTTCCAGCATCATCAGCCATTTCACAGGGCAATTGCAGGATCAACAACCAAAAAAACGGATGGTTGTCAGTCAATGTTAATACTCAGAAACATGGAAGAAGATTACCTGCATTTGTAGCCGCCTAGATGTTAAACTGTTAAGTTTAAGTTCGCATGCTCACAGATTTGGTTCACATTTTTCAGGACACCTCCAATATTTGACTGATCAAAGGAAGTTTAGGGGGAGAAACTTCCGTGTTACGGACTTTTAGAATGTCAGGGAAAGAGTTAGTCAAAGAAAGAGTTAGTGAGGGAAAGAGTTAGTCAAAGAAAGAGTTAGTGAGGGAAAGAGTTAGTCAAAGAAAGAGTTAGTGAAGGAAAGAGTTAGTCAAAGAAAGAGTTAGTGAGGGAAAGAGTTAGTCAAAGAAAGAGTTAGTGAGGGAAAGAGTTAGTCAAAGAAAGAGTTAGTGAGGGAAAGAGTTAGTCAAAGAAAGAGTTAGTGAGGGAAAGAGTTAGTCAAAGAAAGAGTTAGCAAAGAAACAGTTAGTCAGGGAAGGAGTTAGTCAAAGAAAGAGTTAGTGAGGGAAAGAGTTAGTCAAAGAAAGAGTTAGCAAAGAAACAGTTAGTCAGGGAAAGAGTTAGTCAAAGAAAGAGTTCGTCAGGGAAAGAGTTCGTCAAAGAAAGAGTTAGTCAAAGAAACAGTTAGTCAGGGAAAGAGTTAGTCAAAGAAAGAGTTAGTGAGGGAAAGAGTTAGTCAAACAAAGAGGTAGTCAAAGAAACAGTTAGTCAGGGAAAGAGTTAGTCAAAAGAAAGAGTTAGTCAAACAAAGAGTTAGTCAAAGAAACAGTTAGTCAGGGAAAGAGTTAGTCAAAGAAAGAGTTAGTGAGGGAAAGAGTTAGTCAAAGAAAGAGTTAGTGAGGGAAAGAGTTAGTCAAAGAAAGAGTTAGTCAGGGAAAGAGTTAGTCAAAGAAAGAGTTAGTGAGGGAAAGTCAGGGAAAGAGTTAGTCAAAGAAACAGTTAGTCAGGGAAAGAGTTAGTCAAAGCAAGAGTTAGTCAGGGAAAGAGTTAGTCAAAGAAAGAGTTAGTCAGGGAAAGAGTTAGTCCAAAGCAAAGAGGTTAGTCAACAAAGAGTTAGTCAAAGAAACAGTTAGTCAGGAGAGTAGTCAAAGAAGAGTTCGTGAGGGAAAGAGTTAGTCGAGAAAAAAGAAAGAGTAGTGAGGGAAAGAGTTAGTCAAAGAAAGAGTTAGTCAAACAAAGAGTAGTCCCAAAGAAAACCAGTTATCAGGGAAAGAGTTAGTCCAAAGAAAGAAGTTGTGAGGGAAAGAGTTAGCAAAGAAACAGTTAGTCGGGAAAGAGTTAGTCAAAGAAAGAGTTAAACTCTAGGATCGTTCCTCACTGTAAATGGCATTGCAAAGTGTGCTGGTGATGAAGTTGCCGATGAGTTGTGAAGAGTCTCGCCACGAAATGCGTTTTTGAGAGATAGCAGATGCACGAAACCATATGTTTTTCCATACAAAGTCCGTCCGACGTCGATGATCTACCTCTGCGGTGCGACGGGTGCCGAGACGGTCTCGTGTGTTGGTCGGATCATGGCGGATCATTCTCGGATCGGTTCCGCATTGTAAATGGGGTTTCACCTGTTTTTCGTGCATGTGCGGTCGACAGAATTCCATTGTGATTTGCAACTGTAGGATCGTTCCCGCATTGTAAATGGGGTTGCAAGTGGTGCTGGTGGATGAGTTGCCGATGGAAGTCCATTGTGATTTGCAACTCTAGGATCGTTCCCTCACTGTAAATGGCATTGCAAGTGGTGCTGGTGGAGGAGTTGCCGATGGAGTTTTGGAGGAAGTCTCGCACGAAATGCGTTTTTGAGAGATAGCAGATGCACGAAACCCTATGTTTTTCCATACAAAGTCCGTCCCCGAACGTCGATGATCTACCTCTGCTGTGCGACGGGTGCGAGACGGTCTCGTGTGTGGTCGGATCATGTTCGGATCATGTTCGGATCGGTCTCGGATCATGCTCGGATCGGTTCCGCATTGTAAATGGGGTTTCAATTGTTTTTCGTGCATGTGTGGTCGACAGAATTCCATTGTGATTTGCAACTGTAGGATCGTTCCCGCAATGTAAATGGGGTTGCACGTGGTGCTGGTGGATGAGTTGCCGATGGAATTCCATTGTGATTTGCAACTCTAGGATCGTTCCCTCACTGTAAATGGGGTTGCAAGTGGTGCTGGTGGAGGAGTTGCCGATGGAGTTTTGAAGGAAGTCTCGCACGAAATGCGTTTTTGAGAGATAGCAGATGCACGAAAGCCTATGTTTTTCCATACAAAGTTCGTCCCCGAACGTCGATGATCTACCTCTGCGGTGCGACGGGTGCGAGACGGTCTCGTGTGTGGTCGGATCATTCTCGGATATTCTCGGATCATGGTCGGATCGGTTCCGCATTGTAAATGGGGTTTCATCTGTTTTTCGTGCATGTGTGGTTGACAGAATTCCATTGTGATTTGCAACTGTAGGATCGTTCCCGCATTGTAAATGGGATTGCAAGTGGTGCTGGTGGATGAGTTGCTGATGGAATTCCATTGTGATTTGCAAGTCTAGGATCGTTCCCTCCCTGTAAATGGTTGCGTCAAGGTTCCTTCGTGCTGTGGCTGCATTGGTAATACTATTGTCTTTTGCAGCTGGATTTCGTAAATCGTATTGGAGTGGCTGCATGAAGGCTGCGACAGTGATTTGTCAGCAGATTTTCTCCATTTTGGCGCTAGTGATTTTCCTTCTAAAAATCCTTTTAAAAAGTGCTTCAAAATCGTCTTTTTTCGCTCTGGCGTCGAGATCCGGTTTTGGAGCTACAATTTCCAACGCCGTTGCGCGTAGTTCTATTGTGTTTTGCAACTCAGTCTCTGCAGATCGCATTGTAATGGCTGCGTCAAGGTTGCTTCGTGCTGTGGCTGCATTTGTCATACTATTGTCTTTTGCAGCTCGATCTCGTAAATCGTATTGGAGTGGCTGCATGAAGGCTGCGACAGTGATTTGTCAGCAGATTTTCTCCATTTTGGCGCTAGTGATTTCCTTCTAAAAATCCTTTTAAAAAGTGCTTCAAAATCGTCTTTTTTTCGCTCTGGCGTCGAGATCCGGTTTTGGAGCTACAATTTCCGACGCCGTTGCGCGTAGTTCTTTTGTGTTTTGCAACTCAGTCTCTGCAGATCGCATTGTAATGGCTGCGTCAAGGTTGCTTCGTGCTGTGGCTGCATTTGTCATACTATTGTCTTTTGCAGCTCGACTTCGTAAATCGTATTGGAGTGGCTGCATGAAGGCTGCCACAGGGATTTGTCAGCAGATTTTCTCCATTTTGGCGCTAGTGATTTTCCTTCTAAAAATCCTTTTAAAAGTGCTTCAAAATCGTCTTTTTTTCGCTCTGGCGTCGAGATCCGGTTTTGGAGCTACAATTTCCGACGCCGTTGCGCGTAGTTCTATTGTGTTTTGCAACTCAGTCTCTGCAGATCACATTGTAATGGCTGCGTCAAGGTTGCTTCGTGCTGTGGCTGCATTTGTCATACTATTGTCTTTTGCAGCTCGATCGTAAATCGTATTGGAGTGGCTGCATGAAGGCTGCGACATGGATTTGTTAGCAGATTTTCTCCATTTTGGCGCTAGTGTTTTTTGTTGCACGTAGGTTTAGAGCAGTGTGAAGTGTGGGGCGTGAAGAGTGCAGTGTGAAGTGTGCAGTGTGAAGGAAGCAGTGGGAAGTGAGAAGTGTGAAGTGTGGAGTGAGAAGTGTGAAGTTTGGAGTGTGAAGGAAGCAGTGAGAAGTGAGAAGTGTGAAGTGAGAAGTGTGAAGTGTGGACTGTGAAGTGTGGAGTGCGAAGAACGCAGCGTGAAGTGTGAAGTGTGAAGTGTGAGGTTTGGAGTGTGAAGGAAGCAGTGAGAAGTGTGAAGTGTGGACTGTGAAGTGTGAAGTGTGAGTGAAGTGTGGAGTGCGAAGTGCGAAGTGCGAAGTGAGAAGTGTGAAGTGTGAGTTTTGGAGTGTGAAGTTTGGAGTGGGAAGGAAGCAGTGAGAAGTGAGAAGTGTGAAGTGTGGAGTGTGAAGTGTGGAGTGTGAAGTGCGAAGTGAGAAGTGTGAAGTTAGGAGTGTGAAGGAAGCAGTGAGAAGTGAGAAGTGTGGAGTGTGAAGTGCGAAGTGCGAAGTGTGAAGTGTGAGGTTTGAAGTGTGAAGGAAGCAGTGAGAAGTGAGAAGTGTGAAATGTGGAGTGTGAAGTGTGAAATGCGAAGTGAGAAGTGTGGACTGTGAAGTGTGAAGTGTGAAGTGTGGACTGTGAAGTACAAAGTGTGAAGTGTGGACTGTGAAGTGTGAAGTGTGAAGTGTGGACTGTGAAGTGTGAAGTGTGAAGTGTGGACTGTGAAGTGTGAAGTGTGCAGTGTGGAGTGTGAAGTGTGAAGTGTGAGGTTTGGAGTGTGAAGGAAGCAGTGAGAAGTGAGAAGTGTGGAGTGTGAAGTGTGGAGTGTGAAGTTTGAAGTTTGGAGTGCGAAGAGTGCAGTGTGCAGTGTGAGGTGTGGAGTGTCGAGGGAAGGACACGGTCGGGACAGGGTGTCTTTGAACTATAGGTCATTTATGTTTGGGAAACTTCCGCCGCCGGCTTGCCCGGGTCTATGTTAAACCATGATAAAACCATGGTTTCCCGTAGATTTTCCATACTTTTCCCTTCACCCACCGTTCTCGAGGCTGCCGAGCTGCCTTCACCCGATACTTCTGCCTCACCTCTGGCGCTGTGTACTTCCTGCGGTGCGCAGACGGCGCGGCTGATGGCCTGCGGCCACGTGGCGTGCCAAGGGCATGAGACCTGCAACTGCGAGGGCAAGGAGCTGGCGGTGAGTTTGGACTTCCGGAACTGTGAGGAGAAGGGCGGAACCACCGCCATTTTGGCCGGGCTGGGAAGAAACTGCAGTTGTGGTCAATTTGTTTTCTGTTGGACATTGTGATGTATGCATGGTGTGCGTTGTTCTTTTTCGTTTGGACCGACCACATCCAACCACTGCCCTGAGAGGATTCCTCGGTCTGCTCCAAGATTGATGGCATGGTGCGCACCATTCAAAAAATTCTCTCTGAAAATCCCAAAGTTCAATGCTTGGTTTTCTCCCAGTGGACCTCGACTTTGCGAAAGCTGGAGGACGCTCTGCGTGCGCAAAACCTGGAATCGATCATGCCAGGTTCCACAAAACGGCGACGTGGCCGTACGGCTGTGAAGTCCATAGTTCTGCTGACCACTGACTTTCTTTGCTCGGAAAAACTTGGACGACAAGACAGACAGGAACATGCTGCCTTGGATGAGCACGCAGTGACCCGACATGTTTTTCTGGCCAACACTTTCTACACGGCACCCGCCTTCACGGCTGACGTGCTCGAGCAACGAATCATCGACTTTGCCAAGACGAGTCAACTTGGGGTTGCCTCAGCAGCGATCCTTCACCGTTTTGTGATGAATGATACGGTCCCGCGGCATGGAACAATGGATGCGTTTGTCCAAAAGAGGGGATACACCAAACTTATCCGCAACATCCTTTGATAATGAGGGTTCAAACATGTTCAAACCATGGGGTTTTGAAAGGGTTTTCCCATGTTTTCCCGTCATTTTCAGAGAACTTGGAGGAATTTGGAGGACGTGATTTGCCCATTAAGGCAGCCCTCGAGGCTTGCAGCAGACAGTGCATGTCTTGTCAATACCTGGCCAGCTTCAATATGTAGGGAGAGACATGGACCCAGATGGTGAGCTCACGATTTAATTGTATCATCTATACCTGCCACATATCAATATATATATAAGATCATGTATCATATGAGGATATATATACATATAATATATGAATCATATAACATATGTATATATATATATATGTATTAATATATACATATATATATATCTAGACTATAGATGCCAACAAAAACATATTCACTACAATAATACATTCATAAATATCATGTATGATGAATTATATCTGCAAAATTCTGCAAGTATTGCACCATAAACTCTAACAATGACCATCCAAAGCATTTGAAGATCCCTTTCTGAACGGGAAACCATGGGTTCAGCCGAGATTGAAGCCACTGGCGAGCTGATTTCAGCGGAGACTGGCCACAAGGCCCACTGTCCTGAGCTGCCACAGGTGGGTCATGGAAAAACCCTATGGATTCTGGGGGATTTTCAACATGATTATAAACGGGATTATATAGTAAATATATGGGATTATGTGAGATTTCGTGGGATTTAACATGATTAATAAGTCACTATCAATGGATAGAAATGGATGGATTTCACCAGCAAAAGATGGGATTTTATTTTAGACCATCCATTTTATATGGATGTAGTGGGGATGTAATGAGGTTATGGTGAGGATATAACTTGACATAACCATGTACCCAACAATATGCCCTAGAATCCTGGACCTGTGCTGTGGGTTTGCAAAGCCAGGGTCAATCAATCACCACCCCAGCTCCTAGCTGAACCATTGCCAAACCATACCAAGCCTCCCAGAAAAACATGGTTAGAGGGATATGATAGGGATATGTTGAATGGGAAACTCCGGAAACTCCCACATTTGGAGTAAAACTATGGAGTTTCCTATGGATTTCCCCGAAAAAATCAACACCTCTGAACCACGAGGCATGAAGCGAAAGCGCGCTGTTCAGATGGCTTTGGTGCCATGACAAGATGAAGGATTGGGACATGGCCAAAGTTGCACAAGATTTTGGAATTCCAACAAATCAGATTTCGGATGGCCTTAAAAACCATGATTTTAGCATCTTTTTGCGGCCAGGAGTTTGAGTTGAAATGGATTTTCGCAAAGGAACCACTTTCCCAATCCTTCTGATTGCGATTTTTGACCGTTTCTTTGGTCTCACTGGGTGACCCATTTGTACAGTACACTGGGAGGTGCCCAGGTGTTGATTTCTGCGCCAAACCGGCAGCAGAGGTTCGAAACTGTGCGCACTTTGGAAAGCCACAAAAACGATCGAAGGATGGAATTCTTTTCAACGTGGCCATAATTAGTTGGGATTATCCAATAATAGTACAATATGGCCACGTTGAAAATAAGCATTAAAATACTATGGTTGAAAATAAGCATTATCCAATAATAGTTATCATTATTGTAACTATTATCCAATAATAGTTGATGAAGAATTGGATAATAGTTACAATAATAATAATGCTGTAATACGCATGGAAGTTTGGACACAGAGTAATCCACAAAAGTGACTGGACGCCGGGATGCCCTGTCATGGATGAGACGGAGCAAAAAACTGGATTGGCAAGAGATTACCAGTTGCAGTACCATGAGTAGCCCAATGTCCAACACTTCGAATGTGTCAAAGTGTCAAAAACTTTGTGCCCCAAACCCCAATTTTTCTCATTTTTTGTATTAACTCATCCGCATGTGTTGCATGCACTGACTCAACGGCTATGGTTCAGAACTCTTCACCAGCAAAATTGGATGGTTCAGGGTCACAACACCATATTATCAAAGTGTAAAGAATAGCGGTAGACAGCAAACATTGTGGTAATATCACATATTTACATAAACAAATCTAACATTATCTAGCTAAAAACAATTAAAAACCATTGCAAGAAAAGCATGTCCCAAAATTTATATCTGCGCCAAAGGTGGAAGATTTGAAGGCGACGAATCGCCTGGTGCAAACGCCCTTGGAAGCAGTGGATGCTCTCTTTGGGGAGGTGGGGTTGCTGGTTGCCAGCTGCGATTGCAGCATCCCCTGGTATACTGTCAAGGATCAGGGACAATCTGAGATGGCCAGTTGGAAAAGAAAGGGTCATTTTAATGGAAAATCATTGGCAAACACTGAGCATTTTCCTTCTGGTCATGTTAGCTGCGGAGTATTCCTGGATAAGTCTTTGACATCTTCCATCTTCGGGCAGATCAAAGTGTCGCGAGATTCCAGTCGCTATTCAACTCCTTGGCAAAACGTGTGAATTGGGGAAGTCTACTCCTGGCCGTTGGAACATGTTGGAACAACTGCTTGGTTCACCGCAGATTTGAACATTTTTCCTAGACATACGCAATTTTGGGGCAACTACAGTAGGTGTTTCTCAAAATTTGGGTAGCCCATGTCGCCTTTGGTTTCCCCGTTCGGAATCCTCCATATTCTTGAACCATACAGCCCCCCAAAAAGATCGAACAGGTGAAATTTACCAAACAAAATAAGTCACTATAAATAAGTCACTTTTATGGGATTATGTAGTAAATATATGGGATTATGTGAGATTTTATGGGATTTAAATGGACAATGATTTCCTGCAACGTTTGGATCTTCCAGGTGGGGTTGCTCATCCCCACCCTGAAGCCGCACCGCCCTAGGCGACTTCGGCTTGGACCTATGAGGTGGCCACTGCGCTAGTTGACCCTGAGGCCGGATGGGGATGGTTGGTTCACCAGAGGGGGACCTCGTGGCACCTTCAACCACTGCTTTTTTTGGGGCAAAATGGCCAAGAACTGGGGTCAAAGTCCTGAAAATAGGTGGAAGACCTACACTTCCCACTTTTTCTGTGGGGTAACACGCCCAATGGGTAAAGCGCCAACATCTTTGGATTTCCCAAATCCGCCATGTCCGCCACGAGGCAAAGTTGCCGGAAGATGAGAAAGGCAACCGACTGAGTACACGTTTCGATACGAAAACAACTGCTACATCTTGAACCAAACCCAGGAAAACTCGTTCAGGACAGAGGCTTGTCGCCAGAACAGTGGGAAAAATTGCAACGTCCTCTGAGTTTGCTTTTTGCTTTCATCTTCTGTTCAGAGAAAATATGCGTGGTTGCAACGTTGAGGCTTGAGAGTCGTGGATGCGTAGGGTGCCCCAGTCGGTCAGATCTCAGAACGATTCAAATTCAGCCATGACGGCATAGGGACAGAGGGGACAGAGCATGTTTGAACCCCGTTTTTGTGAGTCAAGTTTCATGACACCTGCCTGTCCTTCTAAGTTTTGACGCTTCTGTTCCAATACTTTAACTGGTGTGTCACTTTGGCTTTGAAAGAGATGGTTTAGCCCGCTTTTTGGAGAAGTAATCTTCAGCTTTTGAACAGGTTCCTGGACAATGTGGGCTACTGTGTGTCTGCCAGCAGCACGAGGCCATGGTGCTTTGAAACTGACTGCTTTGAGTCGCTTAGGGGCAGACAGACCAGGGTCTGGGGCAAACCGCGACCTGTCCCGCAGCCATCATTCCAGTTCCAACGGCAACAGTGCTTCCGCGATAACTCGTCAAACCCTTCGCCATGGGTTGGGGACACGGTGGTAAGGGCTATTGGCACCACGGGCACCATCACCATCATCATGCTCATGGTCTTGGGAAGGCAGTGGCAGAAGCTGCCGTCCTTGGCACTGCAGCCATTGCCGGAGCAGCAGTTGCCACCGCCGTCGCAAACCGCGCACCACCGCCGCCACGGCGTGAAGTCGTGGTGGTCCCAGCAGTAGCCACAGCTGCACCTGTAGCCACTGCAACCCCTGTGTTTGGAACGGCGACTGCTCCAGTGGTGGTTGTGAAAGGAAAAGGAAAAGGATGGAAAGGCAAGGGCAAAGGCAAGACGGAAGTCATTGAAGTTCCCCCTCTTGGAGTGTCAGCAGTTGGCATTCCGGCATCTGCTCTCTCGAAGCAGGGTGGTGTGACCTACTTCGGTGTGGATGTGGTGCCAGAGACCGGGGCTTCCTACCGAGTGCAGAAGCGATACAACGACTTTGAAAAGTTGAAGGACAGATCAAGCGGGGAGACAGGAATGGAAAGTATGGAAAGTTAGGATCCCAGTCAATCCCAGTGGCTTCATAAGGTTTCCATTTGCAACTCAACTGTCACCATTGATATATTTGCGCAGCTTCTTTTCGATATTTTTGCATTTGTAGCAGACATAAAGCCACTTCAGAAAAGTTGATCCTTGGATTTATTCAGATCCCAAGCTTGCCAGGACAGCCTCAACTATATGGCGCCAGGGTCCAGAGTGACCTCCGATTTTCCTCCAAAGCATCTCTTTAGCTGCGAAGGGCCTAAACTTGAAGACCGACGCCATGGCTTGGAGAGGTTGGATGGGAGGGAAGTGCAAAATGATTTCTAGATATTGATGTTTCTAGATTCAGTCTGATTCGGTGATTTTCTTTGCAGAGTTTGAAACATGAGAATTGCAAGATGTCGCAAGTGACCGAAGTTTGCTTTACTTTCACCATTTTTCACCTTTCAAGTTTCAGACTTTCCAGGTGGTTGACCCGTGTGCTGAACGATCCCCACAGCCGGGGCCTTTGGTGTTTGGAGCTTCGTCAATTCCTGGAAGTTGGTGGGGTCCACACCCTTCCTGGCACCCTTCCTTCGGCCGAACCCCCAATTCCAGCAGCCTCCGCACCAGTCGAACCTGAAGGAGACTCGCTGGATGTTGGGAACTTGGTAACGACACACAGATATTATATAAATGAGCTGGTCATTGTTGGAATTCTAGAAAGGAATGTTCAGCTGGAACCGAAACCATGAAGAATATTGGATTTTGTCGCCAAGACCATGGTTCTTTGCAATGTGTAGAAATCAGAAACAAACCTCATGTGTACTCAATATATACTGCAGGACAAGTCTTGCAGATTGCGATTCCTGCGGGAGTCAGCAGCGGACAGACGTTGTCTGTGACTGTGCCTGATGGACAACAACTCAACTTCACCGTCCCCCCGGGTGTGTCCGGGGGGTCAGAGCTACAATTGTGGTATGACCCAGTAGCTGGCACTGTCAGTCCTTTGGTCTGACCGTGCCTTGAGCTGTTGCCAGCTATCAACCCCGAAACCCAGAAGGTTCAGTGCTGCTGGGAGCATGGAATCTGAAGGTTTAGTGCTCCAAGAGCATGCTTGCCCTTGCGCAATGTTTCATTCATACAATGTTTGACTCCTCTCCAAGCACTGCCACTTGGGCAGTGACAAGAAGGAATGTTGGCTTTGCTAGAAAGCCACCAATATCTTCATTTTGCAGAATGCATCAGCATGCCTTTTTGCTTAACTCTTTGCTATGCTTGTACAGAACAGCGTACAGAGAGTGCAGTGAACAAAAAACATACTATCCTCTGCAGTATGAGCGTCAGCCCACTCATATGATTCTTTGGCAATATCTTTGGCATTAGACGCTACAATTACTCTGTCCATGTTTGTTTTCTTCTTTGAAATGCAGGCTTTCGACCAAGCACATGCAACACTTGTCAGATTGGGAACGACCTTCACCATTTCTACCTTAGCTATCTACAAGGGTTTTGGGCATAAGTTCACCAGAGCCATGATGACCATCATTCATCCTGCAGCCGTCATTCCAAAACTCGAACGGCCAAAGGGTGCTTTCCTGAAAACCATTTGAAGCCTGCCATGGGTTGGGGAAAGGGCAAAGGCTATTGGCATCACCATCATCATCCTCATGGCATTGGAAGGGCCGTGGCAGAGGTTGCCGTTGTTGGCAGTGCAGCCATTGCCGGAGCAGCAGTTGCCACCGCTGTCGCAGCAAACCGCGCACCACCGCCGCCACGGCGTGAAGTCGTGGTGGTCCCAGCAGTAGCCACAGCTGCACCTGTAGCCACTGCAACCCCTGTGTTTGGAACGGCGACTGCTCCAGTGGTGGTTGTGAAAGGAAAAGGAAAAGGATGGAAAGGCAAGGGCAAAGGCAAAGGCAAGACGGAAGTCATTGAAGTTCCCCCTCTTGGAGTGTCAGCAGTTGGCATTCCGGCATCTGCTCTCTCGAAGCACGAGGGTGTGACCTTCTTTGGTGTGGATGTGGTGCCAGAGACCGGGGCTTCCTACCGAGTGCAGAAGCGATACAACGACTTCGACCAGTTGAAGGACAAGTAACGGAGGTGGAAGATGAGAGAATACCTGTCATAGTTCCATTTTGTCTCCCGTCTCCAAAGCTTGTAAACTTGCTGCATCCACTGCATCAATGTTGTGCAGCCACCTCGCTACATGACACAATGCCAAAGGCAAGGCCAGCTCCAGAAATTAAAACTTGGCTTTGTTCAAAAGCTTGCCAGGACAGCCTCAACTATATGGCGCCAGGGTCCAGAGTGACCTCCGATTTTCCTCCAAAGCATCTCTTTAGCTGCGAAGGGCCTAAACTTGAAGACCGACGCCATGGCTTGGAGAGGTTGGATGGGAGGGAAGTGCAAAATGATTCCTAGATATTGATGTTTCATTGATATTTCTAGATTCAGTCTGATTCGGTGATTTTCTTTACAGAGTTTGAAACATTGCAAGATGTCGCAAGTGACCGAAGTTTGCTTTACTTCCACCATTTTTCACCTTTCAAGTTTCAGACTTTCCAGGTGGTTGACCCGTGTGCTGAACGATCCCCACAGCCGGGGCCTTTGGTGTTTGGAGCTTCGCGGATTCCTCGAAGTCGGTGGGGTCCATACCCTTCCAGACCAAGCACCGCCCCTGGCAGCCTCTGCACCAGCCGAAGCTGAAGGCGGGGGAAAGGTCGTTGGTACTGTAACAGATCAACTTTTTCTCCATGGACACTGTGTCTATTGCCTCTATATAAATATAAATCATCATCTACATAAGCACACAGACAGAGTCAGAGGTTTCCGGCTGGTTAGATATCAGGAAATCTGTGTACTCTCAATTATATATTCAGATCCTCAGCACGTCAAGTCTGCCGCACCTGTACGTATTACTTGCTCCAGTTTCGATAGCTGTGAAATGCATCCGCATCCACATCCTTATATCCAATTGAATCTCAATACGCATGCATGTGAACAGGACAGGAATGGGACTGGAGCAACTGGAGTGCCACTTATTTCCCTGTTCTGCAGGACAAGTCTTGCAGATTGCGATTCCCGCGGGAGTCAGCGGCGGACAGACGTTGTCTGTGACCGTGCCTGATGGACAACAACTCAACTTCACCGTCCCCCCGGGTGTGTCCGGGGGGTCAGAGCTACAATTGTGGTATGACCCAGTAGCTGGCACTGTCAGTCCTTTGGTCTGACCGTGCCTTGAGCTGTTGCCAGCTATCAATCCTGAAATCCAGAAGGTTCAGTGCTGCTGGGAGCATGGAATCTGAAGGTTTAGTGCTCTGGAGAGCATGCTTGCCCTTGCGCAACGTTTCACTTACAACATGATTCACTCGCGAGCCACCGTTTCTTGGGCAGTGGCAAGGAGTGTTGGCTTTCCTAGAAAGCCGTCAATCACGTTTTCATTTTTGCATATTTTTGCAAAGTGCTTTTTTTTGCTCATCTCTTTGCATTGCACAGAACAGTTATAGATAGAAAGCGCGTCGAACGAGAGAAACGTCTCCCTTTGTCCGGGATCATCTCCAAGAACCGTTCAATGGCAATTTTTTTCAATGCCAAGATTGGGAGATCTGAGCTTGTCTGAAGCTAGAGTCCCCCAAGATGACATGGTTCCAGAACGTGTTTTTTCATATTTTTTCCATTACTTAGTGGCTGTAAGTTGAGGGTGCGTCCTTTAGTTTTGGGCAAACCCACATCATGGGCTGTTGTTGATCTATCCCCATGGCCATAACCCCGGAATGCTCCCAGACTCCTTATGATATCCCATGATTTGACGGTTAAGTTAAGTTAATTTCGATTAAATCCTACGTAAAATCCCAGGATTGTTAATGCTTAACTCCCATTTGAAGCCCATTTGATGGTTAAATCCGATTATTTGATGGTTGAATCATCTTAAATCCCATTTCATCCTAATTTCTCATGGTAAAAATGGTAAAATCCCAATTTTCCCAATTCTTTGATGGTTAAATCAGTTAAATCCCATCAAAAGCCTGGGACACTGGGCCAAGTCCTGCCTTCTGCCTTCGTGTAGGTATCTTCACCGGGCCGTGCGAGGCCGAGTACCTGGCATCCTACATCAATGTCGCCTGCCTGAGGACCATCCGAGGATGAAATGATCGGTGCAACGGGGGGGCCATATTTATACCATATTTATACCGTTTGATATCCATTGATGTGGGGAAAATGATGATAAACCCATGATAAACCAGGATGAAGCTCTGGACATATTTTGTTGAATACTAAGTTGAATAGCCTATTTTCAGACAAAGCAAAGGGTGAAATGAAGCACTTGACTGGTGATGAACAAGCGAAAATGGGGTATACAATGGCATGAGACCATCAAAACAATTCAACACATATCGAAAAAATGGGGTGTAAACCATCAACCATGTTCAAACATTAGGCCATAGGGTTATAAACTATCAAACATCGGGTTGAAACCATGGGTTTATCACTGAAAAACCATGAAACATATTTTTTTTTTCCACACCGATGGGTGGCAAAATCTTTAGCACGATACTTTAGGCAGTTGGAACTACAGCACGGATTCAACCTAATCGGATGATTCGCATCCATAGCTACCAGCAACTTTCCCAGCACCAGGGTGTTGATTCATGGCCTTAAAAAAGGCCGCTGCCAACCAATTTGCAGCAGAGATTGTTTGCATCAATCACACAGTCTTTTTAAAACATAAAAAAGCGCATGTAACCAATGGTAGAGTAATGTCGATATGTCAAAACTTCGAGGTTTCGGAACATTGGATGGTCAGATTTTCCATATATTTTTTTGGTGAAATGACATTTTATTTGATTTTCTAGAGATTTTTCCAGATTTGTTTGGTGAAATCGGTGAAATGTCATTGGATTGGTTTAAGGGAAAATCTACAAGAAACCATGGTTTTTACCATTAAATATGAGGCTTTCCTGTAAATTTTCCCATCATCCAATTCTAAGAGTGAAATGACGTTTTTTTTTTGGTGAAATGACCGGGGAAACGAGCGATCGAAGCACAGGACCCGGAGCCGCCCGAGCTCCAAGACCCCGATGAGGCATGCCGCCATGCCAGCCACTGCTCCTCCCGGAAGGCCTCCGCCATGATTTCATGGGAATTTCATGGGGATTTCATGGGAATATCGGAAGATATATATTAATAATTATATATATATATAAATATAACTTATATAACCTACATCATGAAACGGTGTAGACTCCTACTTGTGACATGATATCATTGATGTTTATTGATGTTTATTGCCGAGTTTCCTTTCATGGTTCATAATTGGGATGCTTTATGGCATTGTGGATATTGTGGATCGCACATAGGATTGAATCCAGAGGAATAGACATACATATACATACACACACACACACATATATATATATACATATGTATATATATATATATGATATATATATATATATGATGTATATATATATATATATATATAAGGTACTCCGGTCACATAGAATATGATATGCGTTTTTTTCAATTTTGCAGTTGAACTCGATCGCTCATCAACTTAGAATATTCCCCCATTTCATGTTCATTTTTTTTCTCCCTATTTGGTGAAAAACGACATTTTTTCTCCCCATTTGAATTATCAACATATCACCCATACTGCAGCATAAACGGACATAAATAGACCTTTTTCAAATTTTCACCCCACCAAAATCCTTTGAATTATCAAAATATCATCCGTACTGCAGCATACATGGACATACATGAACATTTTTCAAGCTTTCACTCCACTAAAATCTTTTGAATTATCAAAATATCACCCATACGGCAACATACATGGACATGAATGAACAAGTGAAAGAATTTGTATGGCAAAAAAGTGGAAAAGTGAAGAATTTGTATGGAAACGTGAAGGATTTATAAAGAAAAGTGAAGAATTTCTATGGAAAAATGACGAATTCGTCTGGAAAAGTGAAAGAATTTATATGGCCCAACGATATTCTAAGTATAGGTTTTTTGACGTCAACTGTATTCTAAGTATCCTGTTTCAAGTTCAATTCTGGGGATGCCCTGGGAAGCCAAAATTTTTCAGTTTCATATTCTATGTGGGTGGAGTACTTTATATATATAAGACATAAATGATGATCAAGACTGGAGAAACCCCAAACAACTTGTGGATTTCTTACGAATAGTCTCTGACAGTTGGCTTCGAGTGCAAGGTGGTGCTTCTGTACTATTTGGGCCCGAGCAAGGCCGTGGCAAGCGGGGGCCTCGACGTTAAGTGTCTGTGCCAAGTTGTTGCGATTAACCTTTGGAAATCAAACATGGCGACGAAAAATCCATCATGCATGGTAAATCATTACTTTAAATCTCTATAGTAACGCCCAGAAAGATGGATCTTAGTAACATCATACTAAAATAGCAACAAATGTATAGGGTAACAGGGCAACATTTACCGCGGTTGCAGTTTCCTGAGGCCTATGTCCCAGAGGCGATGCGAGCAAGATCTACGAGGCGATGCCAGCAGAGGATCTGGCATTTTGTTTTTCTTAAAGGGATGAGATCTGCATCATAATGATGATCATGATGATGATGATGATGATGATGGTGGTGGTGGTGGTGATGATCCCAACTAACTTTCATATTGTTGGATCGGCTGAAACCAACCGGGTAGGCTTCATCCAGAGACTCAGAAGCCCGCTGACAGGTGCGAATAGAGGAGGATACGGTCCTTGTCTACTTGAACGATGCCTGTGAGCTGTACCTGCAGGCGTGTACGGGAACATGGGAGTTTCGCATTTGACGCAGCGTGGACTCTAAAGAAGATCTTGGGATGTTGCAACACACGTTTGGAATATGGACGTGATCCCATGAAATATGTGCGGGCTCAATGGCCGAGACCATCCCCAAGATGACCATGGGACCATATGGGACCATGGTGAACAAAACCCATCCCCGGTTGACCATTCCAGGAGCTGGGCCCTGGCCGAATCTTTGAGGTCGGCCGAGTCATAATTGGTGGGGAAGAATTGCCGGATTTTTTTTTCAGATTTGGCTCTGAAATCATGTGGCAGTGTGTCAAAACCTTGTACCCCTGGTGAACATCAAAATAGCTGGTAAATGGATGTTCATCCCACTAAAAAAGGTATTAATAGGTATTGATCCATACCCATGTTAAACCCATGGTTTCAGGTCAAGCAATTCCCTTAAAGCATTGCCGGCAGGTGAACCTGATGTTGCAGACGAAGCAGTCGCAACAGCAGGCACCCAAGGACTCAGCTGGTCTGTTCCTTTCTTGAATTTCAGGAAGTCTGGTTATGACCTGCATATTGAGGATTGCTCAACAAATATCTACTGATGAAGGGTTCCAGGTGGCATAGCTTGCACCGTCTCAACACATGGCAAAACAACTGATCCATGGTCCAAGTGATGTCACGGCCCCGAAGCCTTTTGGGCTTTGTCATTTCCTCTTCGCCGAGCCCGAAGCCCCTTCGGGTGAAATCACCTTGAAAACAGCTGCTGGGCTCAACTAGAGATGCATTCAATACATTCATTCCCACAGATATCCTCTTAATTACAATGTGGGCCCCCCCAGTTATAAGATGGTTTATAAACCCCATTAACTATAGTTATAGGTACCATAAACCATAGTTATTGGAGTTATAAACCAACTTAGCTATCTAGGGGGCTCCTCTTAATTAGGATGGTTTTGTCTTTTTGAGTCTTGCAATTCTCACACATGTGAACCTCACAAGATCCTGGACATGGAATTACAACATGTGGTTGTGCCCCACAATATGGGCTTGTTCAGCAAGATTTTGGGGTCCAACAAATGATGGAACTATCCAAAATGAGTACATAGTTGATGAACATATCCACAACTCATATCCATCATTCCATCATTCCATCATTTCATAATTCCATAATTTCATAATTCGTGAACTATGAATCCATAATTCCATAGTTCTATAATTCCTTTATTGGTAATAATAGATAGACTCCTCCATATCCACAACTGATGGAGATTTCCGTAGCCCTTCACTGGCCTGGTGCCCCTGAGGCATCTTACAGCCGGCCACACGCCTGCCTCAGCGGGGCGCGGGTGGATTCGCAGTAGGAGTAACGCGGCCCGGTCTTTTGAACAGAAACAGATGGAATTCCCAAGATGTTTCATGTTCATGTTCAGCAACCCAAGAATGGATGAAACAAACACATATATAGATAGACGTGTTCTTGAATTCATATTTTGCGCGCATGTCAACATCATGAACATTGCAAAATGACTGTCAAGTTCTGTCTGCCATTTGTTATGACTTTTGTTCTAGTCAGCAAACTGCCAACCGTTAACAGAGTGAACAGTGTCACTAGTTTTTGGCCGGTGCTGCTTGGAACTTTACTTCAACGCCGACGCGACTGATTGTCGCCGTTTGCGGCCACTCGGCAGTTCAGTTTATCAGTGCAGTGACCCAGGGGCTGACTTTTTTGGATCAGTCTTTCTCACGTGGGGCGCGTGCACAAAAATGATGGATACCTCAATTC